GGCTCTTTGGCCCCTTGAGTGTGGCTCTTCCACAAAATACCCGACTTCTGCACATGGGCCACAAAGTTTCAATCGCACTGTACATGCGCGCCCGCACGTGGTATTTTGTGGAAGAGCCACTCTCGGGGCCAAAGAGCCGCATGTGGCTCGCGAGCCGCAGTTTGCCGACCACTGACCTAGGCTATTCTTAGTATAGATGGGTGGTTTCAGTGAGGGAAGACCACCTAGAAGAGGTGAGTTTTGAGACTGGGCTTTAAAGGTGATGGGCCTAGATTGACAGTCATTGCAGCCCACCTATTTTCTTCCTCATGTTTTCCTAGGAAACCTTCGCCCGAGCGAAGACATGAGTAAAGGAACTACAGCGACAGGCCAGTCCTAGCATTGTCATTGCCCTGGCGGGGAACAAAGCTGACCTGGCCAACAAGCGCATGGTGGAGTATGAAGTAAGATGGCCCATAGAGCTCCTTTCTAATACACTCCCTCTGTGCTTGGGACCTCTTTTGTCCAAACCTGCCCTCTCTAGAAACCTCATCTGAGGACATTCATCATGTCATTCCCCAGTCCTGCACCATGTTAAAAACAGCAACACTGTGACCCTAATGATAGCCAGGAGATTTTAGAGGAGTCAGAAGAAAATTCCAGAGCAGCGAGGTGGGTAGGGAATACCAGCTGTGGGAGTACCAGTGCGAAAACAGGAAGGAGGGAGCAATTGAATTTAAGGGAAGGGACTGTTCAAGGGTCAGAACCTAAAAGCCCCCAACCAGCTTACCTTTCTTTCCCATAATTAGGATTCCTGATATCTGTTCGTTGCATAAAGTGGTCTAGACCATAGGTTATCCTTAAGGGAGTTGTCACCAAAATATGGGTCCAGAGCCAGCTGGCTCAGAGGAGAGTTAAGGTGAAGGAACCTAGGACATTGCCTAGCTCTGGTGCTACATGGGAGTGGAAAGGCCATAGTTGTTCTTTTTTTTTAAAAAAAATATATTTTATTGCCATAGTTGTTGTTAACCTACATTCTGAGCACCACTATACCCCATCCCTTGCAGGAGGCCCAGGCATATGCAGATGACAACAGCTTATTGTTTATGGAGACCTCAGCCAAGACAGCTATGAACGTGAATGATCTCTTCCTGGCAATAGGTAAGGTCAGAGCTGCCTGAGGTCTTCCTGTCTTTTTCCCTTACCTCCAGGCAAGATCACTAACCCAAGTCATAAGGATAAATGGGAGTGTCTCCTCTGGTGAAATACCTTAACTTTCTATTGTGACTTCCATCCTTTAGCTTGTCTTTAATATAATTTACAAATAGTGAACCCTCTCCTCTTCAGAACATTCTTTTAATGTTTCACATTTCCCCTTACTTCTCCCCCACCCAATAGTCTTTTTTGGGGGGGATGAGTTAAAATCTACCACATTTTGTTCCCTTCTCTTTTTGCCTCTAGCTAAGAAGTTGCCAAAGAGTGAACCCCAGAATCTGGGGGGTGCAGCAGGCCGAAGCCGAGGTGTGGATCTCCATGAGCAGTCCCAGCAGAACAAGAGCCAGTGTTGTAGCAACTGAGGGGGTAGCTAGCAGCGAACAAGTATGAAGCTAGCACGAGAGCTAAGAAATAACCTCCATTCCCAACCCTCAGCACACAGCCCCTACGGTAACAGCACACTGAGCCCTGGCTCCCAAGGGCTGCCTCCTGACAGCTCCGTCATGGCACTTTTTAACGCTTCAGCAACCAACACCAGGCAGCTGTTGCCACTGACCTCCTACCCCTACTCTGGGGCTTGGGGGTCAGATCCCCCAGGACTTACCTTCCAAAACAGACTTTCTTCACTTTGTATTATAGGTGCAAGACAGTGACCTACTTACCTTTCCTTCTCCTCCCCACTTTTTCAGAAAACATTTTTTTGTCTCCTGCCCCTTCTGCTTTGGTCAATCCCTGTCCTTGATCCCCTTGTCCTCCTCTCCCTAGGATGGAGGTGGTGAACCCAGGAACTGAGAACGGAGGTTTCCAGTTCAGTCATATTAAGGGCCCTGGGGGAGAGTACGGCTCAGAGCAGGAGGGAGTAAGGAAAATTCCTTTTTGGTTTATTTGGTTGGAGTTTCTCATATTTGAAAACACTGCAGTATCCATGAGTTGGCCTTGTGGAAGGTGTTTCTAGGTAGAGTGAGAATGGGAAGGCAAGCTCTTGGGCACCAGTTGGGAGTCGTGTTGTTAGTTAACTGGGCGGAGGCGGAGGCGGAGGCGGAGGAGAAGGTGGAGGTGCAGTGTCATCTGTGGCTCTGGAACTCTTCCAAGGCCTAGTTCCCCTTCACTCAGTCTCTTAGGTAGCTTCTCCTCCATAGTGGGGGGAACTCTGGACCCCAGAGTCCTCCAAAGAATCTTCACTGGTTGCCTGCATCTTTGGTTCTGCTGTGATCTAACTGGAGGAGGGACCAGTTTCTGACACCCATCCTCTGATTTATACATATGCATTTTTTCCTCTCTGGCCTTTGGATGGCCTCAGCCCCAGCCATTGTATCCCCCTGCAGTTTGCACTTTAATTGATGGTAGTTCAGTTGGGACACTTGTTTTATGGGGGTTTTGATTGATTTACCTGCCCTCTCACCTTTTAAATTAAATGGAATCCAAGATGTATATGAGGTTTGGGGAGGGACTGTCGAGTGGCAGCTACTCAAGCCCAATCTCCAATGCTATCTTGCTCCAACTCTGATTCTTAACCTATATTCTTGCCAGCCTATATTCTTGGGTATAGGTTTGCCTTTCCTGGGGAATTAACTGAAGCAACTGGAGAGCGGTCTCAGGATAGCACAGACCATGGTAGGGGTGAAGAGGAGTCAGGCAAGAGGGAGGAGTTTTCTCTCCTTCCCCAGGGTTCATGTTCAATTTGACCCACCCATTACCATGTCTTTTCTACTTCCCTGTACATAGGTATGATCTTTATTCCCACTGTACAGTCTGTTCTTTCCCCCCACCCCCACCCCTCCCATCAGGCCCTATTTCTTTTCTCCATTGTTAGTATCTTCAGTTTAGTCCCTCCATGCTTATGCCCATACTCATCCCTCATGCAACCAGTGGCTTAATCCATGTACCACTAGGGGCTAGCACCACAGAGGCCTACTTGTGGCCCCCTTAAAATATAACACCTGTTCCTGTGGTCAGAGAGACTGGCACTGAAGGTCCCTCACAACTGTTTCACATCACCAGACGAAGTTGGTCCTTTCTAAATCTCTAGCCTCTCTTCACATCCCTCATCAGGTATTTTAGGATGTCTTTGGGAAGCCATCAAGGCAGGAGAGCATTCTAAACTTCTTTTTGTTCCAGCCTAGGGTTTTGGGAAAATTGGGGAAAGTAATATAGGAAAGGCCTCAGTGACCTAGGATTGGAACCTTTCCGCCCTTTTGGCTTACAGACTTCCTTCTGTCCCAGAGCAGCTGAGAAATCCATGAGGCTGAGATTCTAAAGGACCCAGCTTAGGTTCTTCCACTTAGGCTTCAATTCCCTTCCTTTTCCAGGGGCAGCCTTAGTTCCCGTGGCCCTGAAATACATACACATTTTGTCTTCCTTTGCCAGCACCTCACCAGCCCCCAACAGCACCCAGTGCATTCTTAAAAGTGGAAGAACTAGGATGGCTCTCTTAAGTCTCTTAGAAATGAAGTTCTTTCTCTGTGCAGCTTTCCCCATGGAGCAGGAGTGAGGATGTTTCATTGCCTTGGGGCTGGGAAACGATTTCTGCCGGCTTCTTCTCCCTCTCCAGCCCCTTTAGGAACAGGATTGGCCTTAGCTTCTGGGCCTATCTGCTGCCTTCCTTCTACTTCCTACCAGCTCTCTGCTTTCCTTTGAGCTCTCTTGGGCTTGGAAATCTTAGTTTTTATTTCGCAGCTCTTCATTTTTTCCTTCTATCAGTTTTTTTTGGGGGGGTTCCCTTTTTTTCTTTTAAGAAAGCATTTGCCTTCCCCCCCCCCCCTTACTCTTCCAACATAACAATCGTGGTAACAGAATGCGACTGCTGATTTACCGATGTATTTAATGTAAGTAAAAAAGAAAAAAAAAAGAAAAGTGTATTGGAGTGTTGCTTCTTTTTTTTTTTTTTTTTTTTTTTTTTTTTTTGGCCGACACGAGAAATTTGGAAGAAAGGGCACCCAGTAGTTTTATTGCATCAGAAACACACCCTCCCCTGCATGTTGGTGCCTCCTTATTCCCTCTAATCTGTTCTTGAATAGTGAGATAACCTAACTTGGAAAATAGCATCTTTATTGCTGTTTTTTTTGTTTGTTTGTTTTGGGGGGTATTTTGGAATTTTTCTCACTCATTCATGGATAATAAGGACCATTATAAACTTATGGACAATAATAGATACAGAGGCAGAGCTGCCTCAAACTGATTGTCAAACTGCAGCGGGAAGGCTGGGGAGGGTTGGGGGGCGGGGGGGGCGGGGGAGTAAGAGATCAACCGAAGGACTTGTATGCATGCATATAAGCATAACCAATGGACATAAGACACTGGGGGGTAGGGGAGGCCAGGAGATTGTCAAGGGCGGGGGAAAAAAAAGGACACATATGTAATACCCTTTGTGATACTTTAAGCAATAAAAAAAATTTTTTTAATTGATTTTTAGAGAGAGAGAGGTGGGGGGAGAGAAACATCAATGTGAGAGAAAAACATTGATTGGCTGCCTCCCATAAAGGCCCCAACCAGGGATAGAACCTGCAACCTGGGTATGTGCCCTGACCAGGATTTGAGCCCGCCACCTTTTGGTGTACAGGAAACTCAACCAACCGGCCCCGGGCTTTATTGCTGTTTAATCTCTCCTATTCCCAGGCCACTAGAGAGCTCATCAAGTCTGACCACAGCTATTTTTCTTTAGGTCCTCTTAACAGAACATATATATTGGGGGTGGAGGGGTGTCTATGACCTTTGGGCAGATGGTTGATGAGATTGGAGAGGTGGAATTTGTGACTCCTGTGAAGTATTATGCAAAAATGTATGTATTTCTGTAGGGAAATGGTCCTTTACCTTATTAGTATCTCAAAGGGGACCATGACTTAAAAAAGATTTAAAAAAAAAAATCACTGCCCTTGACGGTTTGGCTCAGTGGTTAGAGTGTAGGCCCACAGACCAAAGGGTCAAGGGTTCAATTCCCAGTCAAGGGCACATACCTGGGTTGTAAGTTTGATCCCCGATGTTTCTCTCTCTTCTTCCTTCCCACACTTCCACTCTCTCTAAAGATCAATGGAAAAAGGATTTAAAAAAAATACTGAACTAGCATTTTTTATTGATCATGTGGCTTTACACCAACAGGAAAATTTATCCTGGATCTGCTTTTATTTCCTGCTGTATGTGAAGCCCTTTAGTCTCAGTTTAAATGGAGGTGGGTGGGAGAGAATGATACAAAGAAAAGATTCGGTATGGATGCAGGAGAAGTTTTAAATTCCAAAGAATCTGAAAGGAAAGAGGACTGGTGCTAAACAGACCTGGCATTCCAGTCCTCTTGCCAACTTACCAGCTGTGGCCTTGATAAGTGACTTAGCTGCTCTCTGCCTCAGTTTCTTCTGTAAAACAAAGAAAAGTGGTTTAAAGGTCAGTTATGTACAGCATGTGTATGTCACACAAGGAGATGATACTGTTGTTAAGAAATACTCTTATCCTTGGGCTGAGCCTGACTTTTTTTTTTTTTTTTTGACACATCGATTGGTTGCCTCCCACTCATGCCCCAACCCAGGGTGAAGATCTGACCTGCAACCCAGGTACCTGCCATTGACCTGTAATCGAACCCAAGACCCTTAGGTGCATAGGCCGACGCTCTAACCAATGAGCATGCCAGCCAGGGCTGAGCCTGATTTTTTTAAATATATATATATTTTTTTAATTTTTTAAAATATATTTTTATTGATTTCAGAGAGGAAGGGAGAGGGAGACATAGAAACATCAATGATAAGAATCGTTGATCAGCTGCCTCCTGCACGCCCCCTACTGGGGATCAAACCCACAACCAGGGCATGTGACCTGGTTTGTTGATTGACAGTCAACCATACCAGCCAGGCCTGAGCCTGATTTTTAAGACTAGTAAAGCCAGGCCGACATGGCTGAGTGGTTGAGGGTTGACCTATGAACCAGGAGATCATGGTTGCTGGCCCAATCCCCAGTAGGGGGTGTGCAGGAGGCAGCTGATCAATGATTCTCATCATCGATGTTTCTATCTCCCTCTCCCTTCCTCTCTGAAACCAATTAAAAAAAAAAGACTAGTAAGATAGTGTTAGGATTGTCAAAGGAGTAATGCACAAGGCTAAAGTGGTAAGGGATTATAAATTTACGAATTCATGCACCAGTGGGGTCCCTCAGCCTGGCCTGCGCCCTCTCACAATCTGGGACCCCTCAAGGGATATCAGAGAGCTGGTTTCAGCCCAATCCCACAGGCCAGGCCGAGGGACCCCACTGGTGCACAATCAGGGCTGGGGAGGGATGTAGGAGGTTGGCCAGCCAGGGAGGGGTCATGGGAGGGCTCCAGGATGTGTCCAGCCCATCTCACTCTGTCCTGATTGGCCGGACCCCAGCAGCAAGCTAACCTACCAGTCTGAGTGTCTGCCCCCTGGTGGTCAGTGCATGTCATAGCAAGCAGTTGAGCGACCTTAGCATATCAGCATATTATGCTTTGATTGGACAACCGGACACTTAGCATATTAGGCTTTTATCATATAGGACTGGAGGCCAGGTGCACCTAATTCGTGTACAAGTGGGGTCCCTCAGCCTGGCGGGCGATTGGGGCCAATCGGGGCTGCGGGAGGTTGGCCAGCCAGGGGGAGGGGCTGCGGGAAGTGGGCCGGCTGTGGGAGGTTGGCTGTGGGAGCGCACTGACCATTAGGGGGCAGCTCCTGCATTGAGCGTCTGCCCCCTGGTAGTGTGCGTCATAGCGACTGGTTGGCCAGTCTCTTGGTCGCATAGGCTCATATATATATGTATAGATAGATAGATAGATAGATAGATAGATAGATTGATTAGGTCATCTGGATACCAGTGCCAGCACCCAGCAAAGGGGAGTCAGATTTTAAAGGACTCCAGACGGGCTTTTTCTGGGAGGGTCCAGATCCTGGGAAGGTCCAGAGAGGAAGGATAATGGTCTTAGCAAGTGGAATGTGGTCTAAGCAAAAGGGAATGTCAGTTGTGAAGTGGCCTAAAGATCAGTTTCCAGGGGAGGGGTATCCATTCAATTATTTGATCAAACCTAACAGGTCTTGCACCAGGCCTCTCCAATGATTTAATTGTACACAAATTTAATTGTGTTGAAAATATTTCTGAAAACTTGAGAGCCAAAATCTTTGGAGCCTATTCAGTGTCATTGCCCCTTTCTGTATATTTCTTAGTACTCCCCCAGACTCCTGGATTCCTGGTAATATCTCTAGTTCAGTTTAAGAGATCAGAAAGGGGAGGGTTGGGGGGAATGATCTTCAAAAATTAGAGATGAAGTCCTTAATTTAAAGTGAGTAAGGTTGTAGCTCAACCTTCTGTTCCCTAGAGGGCGGTGTAGATACCTTTGCCCCACAGCCGGCCAATGACAAAACAAGTTTTTAGTCCTGCACCAAATGCTAGAGCAAATTATTTGTATTAGTGTCCTTTGCTCTAAGATTATGAGCGATTATAATCTTCCTAATTTGGGGTGTTATATATGTCGTTGCTCTTGTTAAACGACGATTTTTTAAAATTGACTTAACGAATCAAAATAAAAAAACGTGGCTATTCTGTGTTGATGGTTCCCTAATTTGGGGAGAAATTTGACTAGTCCACGAAATCTCAAAGTCTTTGAACCACTATTTAGGCTTCGTTTCTGCTCATTCTTGTATATAAGAATCGCTTGACCTTGTTTTCTCTAAAAGGCAAACAGGGCTGTTGTCGCTGCAACATAGATGTTGATCAAAAACAGGGTGGAGGCGAGCCTCTCCGCCAAGAGAAAGCGGGCTGGATCCCGCGGCCTCGTCCAGTGAACGCACCTTTATTCTCAGCTGTAGGCGGGGCGGGGCGGGGGCATCCCAGTCTTCCATCTTTCAGCCCAACCTTTGGAGTCCTCGTCACCTTCCACTGCCCAGGTTCTGGACATCAGTGAGGGTCCCATTCCTTGCCCGGCGAGGGTGAAAAACAAACTGCCCTAGCTTCTAGCCCTGGAGGCGCCCCGCCTGCTTTGGGCTCCAGGAGGCGGGCACAGCAGCTCGCAGGCCCGCCAATGGCTGGGCGACTCGCCGAGGAACGCAAATGATCCTTTAACTCCAACCAACGTCACAGCGCTGGCCTCGCCCCTTCACCAGCAGTCGCCGGCGCTGGACGGGTCCATCACGCGGACCTCAAACTGGGTAAGGGGTTTGGGGCCGGGAGAGGGAAGAGGAAGGGGAAGGGCTAGTGACCTGGGCTACGGTGGGGGCCTTGGCACCCAGGGGTGCTTGGAACAACGAAATTGCCAGTACCCACCTCCACTCCCGCTGTCTGGGTGCTCCGGGGGCACGGGGTGTTGCTACAGGACACTCTTGTGCCAGCTTCTGGATGGTGGCATGGGACCAGATGCCCTGGTGCTGGACATATCCTCCTACCTAAAGTGCCCCTGAGGAGTGGGGGGCCACCACCCGCACAAGGCGTGGCATCTTTTATGTAGCAGAAGGCTGCCTCTCCTAAAACCTGCGACATGGAATTGACTGAGTTCCCCTGCAGGTCAGCCCTACCTGCACCACTCCAGTCTGACTCAAGTGGGCTGCTGGGATTGAGGGCAGGTGGGAGGAAGGGAGAATGAGAGGCCCATGGCCCAGGAGTAAAATGCAGACTCTGCTCCTACTTCTTTCTCCCTCCGTTTTTCTGCCTGCCCTGCAGCATCTCATCAGCCATTGGGACTCTTCTCACTCCTCCCCTCTTGGTGGGGTCAGTGATCTGCTCAGTGCTGTGAGGAAGAAACTGTTGCAGGGCAGAGAACAGAATAATTACCTTCTTCCTACTCTAGCCCATACCCTGACACACTGGCCATTGACGCCTCAATTTGCTGAGCTCACTGGAGTGGCATACACAAGGTAAGGGTGGGGACCTGGGATTGGGGTCCAGTTCCCAGCTGGGTTCAATTTTTTTAGGGTGGGTGGGGAGAGAGGAGGGGACTGAAAGGCCTTCAGAGATAATGTTATTACTTGTTTACTGATCACAGCAGCTGTGCTATGGGTGATCTCATTTCCTAGATGAGGAAGCAAGTTCAGAGAGGCTTTGTTCGTTATGTTGCCCAGGGAACAGAGCTGGTTAATGGCCGGGCCGGTTTCTCAAAGCAGTTTGACTCCAGAATCAGGTCCTGCACCCCATTAGGCTGCCACTACCTTTTTTACCTTTTTGTTCCTGTTTAAGTCAGTCTGCCCTTCAGTTGTCTTCTCCTGTCTTAAGAAATAAATTTTGGCCCTAACCGGTTTTGCTCAGAGGATAGAGCGTGGGCCTGCGGACTGAAAGGTCCCAGGTTCAATTTCGGTCAAGGGCATGTACCTTGATTTCGGGCACATCCCCAGTAGGGGATGTGCAGGAGGTAGCTGATTGATGTTTCTAACTCTCTATCCTTCTCCCTTCCTCTCTGTAAAAAATCAATAAAATATATTTTAAAAAAGAAAGAAATTTTGCCCTTTTAGTCCCAAAGGTAGAGTGGAGGATGGGAGATAGGTGATTCTAGAAGATTCCTATTTCTCCCTCTAACCCTATTCCCTTTCATCCTGTCAGTACAGTGTCTGAAGTGCTTCAGGTTTTCTCTAAGGGCCCATTTGGACCCCCACTCCTACACTTTGGCCTCATTACCACAGAAAAAGTCTCTCCAGATGACCTCCGCTGTGTCTTCCTCCCACTCATTCCCTCAAACTGCCCTAATAGCATCCCCTCCCAGGAATTCCTATCTTGATCTCAGAATCTTCCTCCTACAGGTCTGCCACAATGCTGCTGCTGCTGCACAGAGCTGTAGCCCTGGGGCTCAGACCGGCCTGCAGGTAGGCCAGCCCATCCTAAAAGGTCTCCTAACCCATATCTTTTATCCCCAGTATCTTTATAATGTCTTCTCTTATCTGCCAGATAAGATAATTAAGATGGTGGCAAGGAAGGAAAGGGTAAGCCAGATCCCACTTGTCTCACCTATCTCTGGAGAAAATAAGTTCCAACTAAAGGAGCCACTGGCCAGCCAGGGAGAGGTAAACCCCAGGCCTTCACTGATCAGAAGTGTGTTACTGAGAAGACTCACTTTCTCTTCCAGATTCAAGTCTACCCACTCAAGGCTCTGCATTCAGGCCTGCTCTACAAATGATTCATTTCAGCATCAGTGCCCCAGCCGTGCCTTCTCTACAGATAACTCCAGCACCAGGGGATGGAGAGTCATGGGGACCCTGTTAGGCCTTGGTGCAGTGTTGGCCTATCATGACCGTCGTTGCAGGGTAAGTGGGAAAGGAAAAGACTTCACTCTCAGGGATCCTAGTGTGCTCCCAGGCAAGCCAGGGTGTTACCGCAGAGCCCACAGTTGACACGTCTTCATGCAGAAGTAGAGATGAAATCTGCTACTTCCATTTCCCAGTGGCCACGACTTTGTGGATTGGCTTAGGGTGAGCTGCAGTGATTGCTTCTTAATATTCTGTTCCCTTTTGCCTCACCCCTGTTCTGCCACAGGCTGCTCAGGAGTCACCACACATATACACCAGAGAGGAAGTAAAATCCCACAGCAGCCCTGAAACTAGGATCTGGGTGACTCTGGGCTCTGAGGTCTTTGATGTCACAGAATTTGTGGACCTACACCCAGGGGGGCCATCAAAGCTGATGCTAGCAGCTGGGGGTCCTCTAGAGCCCTTCTGGGCCCTCTATGCTGTTCACAACCAGTCCCACATACGTGAGATACTGGCTCAGTACAAGATCGGGGAGCTGAGCCCTGAAGACAAGATGCCATCCACCTTGAAGACCTCTGACCCTTACGCTGATGATCCTATACGTCACCCAGCTCTGAAGGTCAACAGCCAGCGCCCCTTTAATGCAGAGCCCCCCCCTGAGCTGCTGACAGAAGCCTACATCACACCCAACCCTATCTTCTTCACTCGAAACCATCTGCCTGTACCTAACCTGGACCCAGACACCTATCGCCTGCATATTGTAGGACCACCTGGGAGACGGCCACTGTCCCTATCCCTGGATGACTTACACAAGTTCCCCAAGCACGAGATCACGGTCACTCTGCAGTGTGCTGGCAACCGGCGCTCTGAGATGAGTCAGGTAAAAGAAGTAAGAGGTCTGGAGTGGAGAACAGGCGCCATTAGCACTGCACGCTGGGCTGGGGCACGACTGTGTGATGTATTAGCTAAGGCTGGTCACCGACTCCGTGAAACTGAGGCCCACGTCTGCTTTGAGGGACTGGACTCAGACCCCACAGGGACTGCCTATGGAGCATCCATCCCTCTGGCTCGGGCCATGGACCCTGAAGCTGAGGTCCTGCTGGCATATGAGATGAATGGGCAGCCTCTGCCTCGTGACCACGGCTTCCCTGTGCGGGTGGTGGTTCCTGGTGTGGTGGGTGCCCGCCATGTCAAATGGCTGGGCAAAGTGAGTGTGGAACCAGAGGAAAGTTACAGCCACTGGCAGCGGCGAGATTACAAAGGCTTCTCTCCTTCTGTGGACTGGGACACTGTAGATTTTGACTCTTCTCCATCTATTCAGGAGCTTCCTGTCCAGTCAGCCATCACAGAGCCCAAGGATGGGGAGATGGTAGAGGCAGGGGAGGTGACTGTCAAGGGCTATGCATGGAGTGGTGGTGGAAGGGCTGTGATCAGGGTGGATGTATCTCTGGATGGGGGCCTAACCTGGCAGGTGGCTGAGCTGGATAGAGAGGAACAGCGCCCCCGTAAGGCCTGGGCCTGGCGGCTCTGGCAGCTGCAAGCCCCTGTACCACCTGGGAAAAAGGAATTGAACATTGTTTGTAAGGCTGTAGATGACAGCTACAATGTGCAGCCAGACACCGTGGCCCCAATCTGGAACCTGCGAGGCGTGCTCAGCAATGCGTGGCACCGTGTCCATGTCCGTGTTGCCTCATGAGAAAGTGAAATGGCACCATCTACTCCCCAGAAGCACCTTCTCAACCCCTTTCCACACCCATCCGTTAGCCTCATTTCCACAGAAAAACCTTTCTCTCCATCTCTCCACTTCTCTCAGAAACTTTTCCTCTGCCTTCCTAAGCCACACACAGGCACACACATTGGACATTCCCACCTAGGCGCCACCCTCCTCTGACAGTGTCACATATTACTGTCCGTTGACTCTGTGCCAGGAGGTGAGAGCTATTGGAGCAAGGGGCCAGAAGTGAGAAGAATATTTCTGGAAACAAGCCCTATTTTCTCTTCTTACCCCACTTCCACTTCCAATGTCGATCACCACTGAGGCCTTACTTTGCTTTTCTTGGATTCTTCAGAGAATATGTATATGTGTAAGAAAAATGGATATGTGACTTGCTGTTGCCCCTCTGGGTTGCCAGGGGTTGTGAACAGTGCAACCCTCTTCCTTTATAATTACACTTTTCTAAATATATCAATAAAGCATTTTTAAAGACTACAAGGCTAAAAAAAGAAAAGGTGGTGACTTTTGGGACCTCTGGAGGCTGGGGAGTGAGCATGTTGCAGAAGGGAGGTGCATGGTACCGGGAGGTGCCTGAGATGACTCAAAACAAACGCTGGAGGAAAGGGAGAAAGCAAACAGGTGCCGGGAAGTCAAGAAGTGGGGCTTCCTTCTCCGCGGTCCGTCACATCTGCAGGGCTACTTAGGAGACTGACCGCAAGACACCCCTCGAGGGAGTAAAAACTATTTGCCACCCCGAAGCCCCTCCCCCTCACTATTCCTACGCACTTGGCAGGAATGGCAACGAACGCTAAGAGGTTAAAGTCAATGTTGTCTTAGGAGGTTCAGGGACAAAATTTGGCCCTAGGGGGAGATGTGCCAGGACACAGGAGGTGTCCAATGTGCGTCCAGTTTGCAAATTAGCTGCAGGTGAAGGGGCAATCTGCGGCTCTCGGCACGAGACCGAGCCTTTCGGACTTCAGTCTTTCTGCGCTCAGCTACTCTCCCCTAGCTCTTCTCCCTTCTTTCCCCAGCAGTTTCCCTGGCTTGGGGGCGCTCGGTGTTCGGCCACGTCGCCTGTCGCCTGGTAGTGGGACCGGAAGTTGTTCAGGGGAGGGGAGACGGCTGGGATGGGGGGGTGTTTACCGGGGGGGCCGTCCCTCTTCAGGTGAAGCTGCTGATGGATATGGAGCCGCCGCCGCTGAGCACCCGGGACCCGGCTTCGGCCCGGTTGCCACCGCCTCAGTGACCCCCCACTCCCCCCGCACTGGGCTTCCCGGGCCAGAGTGGGGGACCCCCGCCGCCCCGCCCCCCTCTCCCCCAATACCGTCCCCTCGCTCACACCCCAGCCTGAGCGCGCGCGGAGCAGCCTCAGGTGAGTGAGGGGCGGGGCTTGGGCGAAGCGCGGGGGCGGGGCCTCGGCCGGCGGGGCGGGGCCTGAGGGGCTGGGGCTGGAGGCGTGGGGGAGGTTTGACGCAGGGCTGGCGGCGGGAGGGTCCCCGCGTGGCTGCGGCCCGAGGGAGAGAGGCTGGCCTTGCGGAGTTTGGCGCGGGGCCCAGGATTGGGGGGGCGGTAGCAGGGACCTAGGGGTGCTAAAAGGCGGGAGCTGGGTCAAGGCAGAGGACCAATGACATGCAGGGGCCGGCGTGCGAGAGGTCAGGGTACGGCTGGGGTGGACCGGAGGGACCGCGGAGAAAGGGAAAGCGGAGAAGGTACCTAGGGCGGGAAGCCAGGGACGCCAGGATCTGGTCGAGGTTTCAGGGAAGGACGGGCCTAGGGGGGAAAGATCGTGGAGACAGTGAGCAAAGTGGGAGACACGTGGCAGAGAAGAAACTTAAGGTGGAGTGGAAAGTGCTCTCTGGGTACTGTAGGGTGAGAAGTCGAGAGGACCCGAGAAGGAAGGTATTCACGGCATGTGAGCCTAAGAAAGGAAGGTAACGGAGGAAGCCCTGGGTGGATCTGGGGTGAAGGCAGGGGGAGCGACAGACTTAGGAAGCAGGTCTAAACTACAACAGCCCTCCGAGTGCCTCCGCACACAGCCCCATCCAGTTGTTTTCTTCCCGTGGTCTGCTAGAGTTGTAAACTCTAGTTATTTTCTTCCCCCTGTCTGCTGGTTGTAAACTCTCTCTTTTGGAATTTGGGGTTTATTTTTATCATTACTGGCCCGGTCTGGGGCAATGAAATGCTTAATGGAACATGGACCTCTGGTTATGAGATGTTTAGGAAATACGGTACATTTTTTTCCCTCTCCGAGGTCAAGAATTTACTAACTCTGCTCCCAGAAAGATTTGCTGTGTTACCGACCACATGTGTCACGCTTTGCATACCTTCTTTTGCCTCAGTCCCCTCTCTTGTAAGCAAAACTCTACTGTTTGGACTCTTATTGACTCCCATTTACATGTCCAGCTGTGCCCTACTCTCCCTGCCCTGAGCACTCAAAGCATCGGTGGCAAGCGTGGTGGTCCTGACTCACTCACATGTCAGCTCTAGGTCTGCCATCATCATGGCCAAGCTGAAGGCCTTTGAGGCCTGGCTATCTCCCCTTACTGCTACTTGCTCACTTAGCCTGGGTGAAGTTCATGTGTTCGTATCCTTAGGAAGCGTTAAAAACAGGTGTCTGACTACCTAGAATGTTTCCACTTAATATAATTCAGATTCTGAGGACAAGACCAGATAAAAGTCCAAATCAGACCATCTGAAAGTGTAGGGTCTTGTGTTAGGAGTATTTTTAATGCCTAGCCAGATCCCTTAATGGGTCTGCGAACCTTGCTTTGTGGTATGTGGTGAACTTCAGCCTTCTCCGCTAACAGCCTAAAACCAGAGAATCCAGACAACTCCCTAGGTCATGAGAACAGTCAGAAGAGTGGCTCCAGAGATAAAAATAAAGTCTTAAAAGAAGAAAATAACCTTACCATTGGAAAGCAGGAGAGGTTTCAATAGCGCTTCTTGGGTGGGCCCCAGGGTGGTGGGAGCTGCCTTCACTCTGGCAGTTTCAGAATTATATCTTGTTCTAGTCAATGGAGGCTGAAGTCTCAAGCACAAAACATGATGTCTTTGTTGCTCACTGAGGGCAGTTAGTTCAATTGTAGCTTCTGGGCAGTCCCCTTCCTCACAGTAGGTTCAGGATGCAGCTTGTTTCAGGAGTTGGCTCAGAAATAAGTCCTGCCTTTTTTCCAGTAAAAATGCAACCCAAAATTTCTTCTTTATTTCCTCTTAATTTAAATCTGCAGCCCCAAGGGGCAGGGGGGGGGGGATAAATCTGCAGCCCCAAGGGGCGGGGAGGGGAGGAGGGGGTAGATAAATCTGCAGCCCATACTCCCCAACATCGGAGGAACATCCCACCCTTTACACCCAGCCTCTCCCCCACAACATCCACAAAGGAATTATTTTCTCTCAAACTGGCCATCTCTCTTCCCTCAGAACACATACAAAATAGCCAAGGAAAAAATAAAGATAAATTATTGTTGGGCAGCTATTTCTAGCCTCATTTTACTTTGTGGAAACAAATAAGAGTGTGGGATCCTGTGGGTGTAGACAGTGCCACAGGCAGAGGGACTCCCTTCTGTTGGCCTCTTGCCCCTGCTGGAGAAGGCTCTGAATTCCAGACTGTTGGATTTGCATCCTCTTCTCAGAGAGCTGTGGACTCTGTATTGGAATCACAGAGACAAGTTCAAGGTTTATCAGATGAAAACATATAAGAAAGAGTAGTGGTGATGTGAATGTCCTGGTTCCTCTGGGGATAGCATCAATTTGTAAACTCTGCTGGAAGGATCAAATATATGCTTGTATGATCCTTGAGCCAAGAAGCCCTGCTTCTATCTTAAAGATATTTAGTGAGTGTCTAGGTTGGCTTTTTCCTCAGGCCTATAATCTCTGAAAAGAAACATGGGAGCTAGAGGATTATTTCTTTTCCCATCTATAAACCTGTGTTTCTAGTTCAAGGATTTCAATCACTAAGATGTAAACCCCAAACTATTCATTTTATCACCCAAGAGATTGAGCAAACAGGGTGGCCCCAAACCTTCCAGCTATGGCAAGATTTAACTTTATGCCACAGTAGAAAGACCCCCCAGACAACAAGAAATTGGAGATATCTCTCAACTCCATTCTAGCTCCAAGATTCTCCAGCTCCTAGAGTACCCCTGCTCCAAGGCCCTCCACATGAGGAGAGGCTTACCAAATTGGGGTGTCTGCTCAAGGTTCTTTGTTATAGAGGAGCCTGAAAACATCTTTCTGGCCCAAACATCAGTGAGCTGTTTTTGATCAACATGCGTAAGGGACTTCTGTCCAGGATTGCCACCAAAAGCAGTTGTTCCTATCTCTTCCACCTTTTTGCCACCCTGCCCCAGTCAGAGTAATTAATTGAAACTTCTATGTAATTTTAAAAATTTTATTTGAAAGAGAGAAAGAAACATTGATCGGTTGCCTCCTGCATGACTTGATGGGAGATTGAACGTGAAAACTGGGTATGTGCCCTAATCTGAAATCAGACCCGCCTCCTTTTGGTGTGCAGGACGACGCTCCAACCAGCTGAGCCGTACCCGCCAGGGCGCAACTTCTACGTGATTTCAAACTTCACCTGATATAGCTAACCCTGTTTTGGACATCTTTGGCTTCAAAACTGATCATTATAAAACTCAAATTGAATTCCCCTGCTCTACTTTCCCCAACCCTACCCAAACATACAGCTGAACACAGTGACTGTGGGGCCTTTCTATAAACACAGGGATTATATTCTCAAGAGTGTACTCCACAAAACTCAGTATCATCTCACCTGCATCAGACCTAGTGATTTCAACTGTTTAGTTTGGCCCTTTTCTTATTCCGAACGTTCTGAAATGAGGTACAGGAGGGACAGGATTGTCTCTCCTCCCACCCATAAACCTTAGCTTTCTCTCTCTTCCACAGTGTACATGGGAGGACAGGGGAGCGCAATGAACAAGAGAAAAGATGCATTCACCTGAGATCTAGGAGGAGACAAAGGTGATATTTTCCCACCGCCCCGGGTGTTTTGTTTCCAGCTCTTACCCCTTCTTATTTTAGAGGCTGGCCATTCCTAGAGTGACCTGGGGACTCATCCCCTCTGCACTGCTCCCCACGCACGTGGATAATGAAGCTGAGATGTCTTTGTCTGTGTTATGTATAGACAGAAGGTGACCACCTACAGCCTGATGAAAAAATGAGGCAGATCTTTCTGCTGTACAGACAGACACAGGAGCTGAGAAAGGTTAGTGGGTTTCTTTCAGAGGGCGCTAGGTTGTCCCTAAAGATCATTTCAGAGCCACAAACAGCTCCATGTCCAGGTCTGTTTCCTTGAAAGCGGTGTGCAGTCAGGTTGCAGACAATGCCTAATTCCACCTCTTCCCCCTCCGCAATTTTGCAAAGCCTTGGTAGAGAGCAGAGCCAGCTATGTGATTCCAACCTGGTTTTTCCCTGTTTATTCAGTTCAGAAAGGAACAGGAAGGAGAGAGTGATAGTGTGGGTTTGGTCTATTTGTAGTACCTGAAGTCCTCACTCCCAGGCATGTGGGAAGGTCTGTTTGTTAATAACCACTGGGCTCTACCTCAGATCCCAGGTCCTAAGGCAGACCAGAGAAACAATTTCCACTTCTCCCTGCTGTAGTTCAGGACTAAAAATCAAACGATGGCATGGGTTCTTGACACTCTCCACCTCCATCCTCTTTCCCAACAATATCCCCCTCACCGCCTAGGCTACATGGAGTGTGTTTAAATTTCAATTTTGGAGTGTCACTGGATCAAACCGTTTTCCTTGGAGGATTTGAGGAGTTTTGATTCCTCGTGATATCCATCTTATTTCAGGTTTTCAGAGCCACTACATAGAGAAAACTTGACTTTCTGACATTTTTGTCACCAATAGAACTGCGGGAATGTTTTTTGAGGAGATGGGGATGGTAGTTGATGCCTGACCTGACCTTGGAAGCCAGACTTTGGATTGATCCTCACCTGCTGCTTGTCAGGAAGTGTGATTGGAAATCTGTCTGGGAGGGATGCCCTTTCCTGTTCATATGTGACATCGTGTTGATGGGAGAAAGCCAAGGCCATGGAGGAGTCTTGTTATGGTGCCAAGTGGATTCAGAAGAACAGAGAAAAAAATATTTGTCTACAGAGATTACAGTGACCAGCCTTTTCTCTGTCCTCAGAGATACTTCCTTTTGAATTGGGAGACTAGCTGTTTCTAGTCATTTTGTATGCAGCTCGCTAAACTGAACTTACCGTACATAGTGTGCCTACTTTTATCACTGAATCTGTGTTGCTATGAAGCCAGTTTCCTCCCAAGATCTTGGAGCCAAACCTGTCTGGTAACTAACTTCTCGATCCTTGTACCTCCTCCCCCTGTGGTATGTCTCCAGTTGGCACTGCCTAATTTGACCCAGTTCCTCTAAGGCAGTGGTTCTCAACCTTCCTAATGCCGCGACCCTTTCATACAGTTCCTCATGTTGTGGTGACCCCCAACCATAAAATTATTTTCGTTGCTACTTCATAACTGTAATGTTGCTACTGTTATGAATCGTAATGTAAATATCTGATATGCAGGATGTATTTAGGCGACCCCTGTGAAAGGGTCGTTCAACCCCCAAAGGGGACCCGACCCACAGGTTGAGAACCGCTGCTCTAAGGAGACACTAAGATCTGCCTGCCTGGCCAGGCAGGGGAGGAGGTGCTTTGAGGGATGGGGAGCGGGAAGGTTGGGAGGGATGTGCCACCTGGGGATTGAGCAAATAGTGAAGTTCATCACTGATTTGTTCCTCAGAATACCAAGACAGAATCTCAATGCCCTCTGGCTTCCAGGGTTACCAACTGGTATTTAGACCAGTTAGAGGCGGCTAAAGACTTGTTTTGCCCAAGATGTGTCATAGAGCACCTGTTAAAAGGAATTAAGAAGCAGAAGAGCTGCCCTAACTGGTTTGGCTCAGTGGATAGAGTATCCGCCCAAGGACTGAAGGGACCCAGTTCAATTCTGGTCAAGGGCACGTACCTCAGTTGCAGGTTCGATATTCCTCTCACATCAATGTTCCTCTTATCTCCTCCTCCCCTCCATTCTTTCTAAAAATCAATGGAAAAATATCCTCCACTCTCTCTAAAAATCAATGGAAAATATCCTTGGGTGAGAATTAGCAACAACAAAAATGATAAAATAAAAAAAAGAAGCAGAAGAGCTCAGTTTACTGCTAAGATCCTTATGGAATTGTTTTGGGGCCATTTGGGCAGGTGTCCAAGAGTGAGAGCCAGGGCTAGCTGGATGCTATGCTTCAACTGGGCTAGCTGGATGCTATGCTTCAACTGCTCTGCCCACCTAGTGCTTGTCTAGCTAGCCCCTGGTGTTCGTTCTCTCTCTCTCTCTCTCTCTCTCTCTCTCACACACACACACACACACACAATTGCATTAGCATATTTCTTGGTAGAACCTGTTCAACTTGTTCTTCCTTTTTAAGTAACAGACCCCACTCCCACAGGGATCACACCAAAGGAAAAGATGCCTTATGCCTTAATTAATGTTATAACCAGGAAAAAGCAAGTGATCCATGAAGGCCTTGAGTAATCTGGCTTTTGAAAGGAAGCAAGATGGTTTAACGAAGAGAACACATCTCGGAAAGGCAGGAGACGTGTATACTTTTTCTCAGTCTCACCATGAGCCCTGAGACAAGTCACTTAACTGCAATGAGCCTCAGTTTCTCCAAGCAGAAAATTGAGAAACTCCTACTCACTTTTGCTTCTCCTGCACTTGGGGGATCAGGGGGTTCTAGGGAAGTCACCTGCGGCATCTTGAACTTTGCACTAATATTGAACGATCCCAAAGGGCAATTATGGAGCTAATGATTTGGAGATGAAAGAGAGTACCGAGCTGCCCTCCCCCATCTTTGGATCTCTGACCACTGCAAGTTCTCTGGCTAGTTCCAGAAGGTACAAGTTCATTAACCCCTGTGGACTTGGGCTCTTTTAATCATTGCCCCTAAGGGAACCTTTTAAGGAACCACTTGTTAATGTGGCTTGTCTGGTTCCAAAGCTCAGTACACCCCAGGGAGGACTTAGAGAAATGTTTTGTCCAGACCCTGTCTTCCTGGGTGAGACTAGCAATCTCTTTGATAAAATCTAAGGGATTGGCTTTGGGAATGTTTCAGGCTTTTCCATGAGAGTTTTTAGAGATGTATGATGTCTCTCAGAAGTAGACAAGAATAACCCAGAGGAAGGGAGAGGGATAGAGAGTTAGAAACATCGATGAGAGAGAAACATCGACCAGCCGCCTCCTGCACACCTCCTGCACACCTCCTACTTGGGATGTGCCCGCAACCAAGGTACAGGCCCTTGACCGAAATCGAACCCAGGACCCTTCAGTCCGCAGGCCGACGCTCTATCCACTGAGCCAAACCGGTCTGGCAGCCCCATGAGAGTTTTTAGAGACGTATGATGTCTCTCAGAACTAGACAAGAATAACCCAGGTGGGGATGCCCTGGCCGAGTGGCTCAGTTATTGGAGCGCTGTCCCATATTCAATCCCCAGTTGGGGTATGTGCAGGAGGCAACCAATAAATATTTATCTCTCACATCAATGTTTCTGTCTCTTTTTCTCTCCCTTTCTCTCTCTCTAAAATCAGTAAAGCCCAGCTGGTGTGGCTCAGTGGTTGAGCATCAACCAGTGAACCAGGAGGTCACAGTTTGATTCCCTGGTAAGGGCACATGCCCAGATTGTGGGCTTGATCCCCAGTGCAATGTGCAGGAGACAGCAGATAGATCAATGATTCTCTCTCATCATTGCTGTTTCTATCTTTCTTTCCCTCTCCCTCTCTGAAATCAATGAAAATATATTTTTAAAAAACAAATGTTTTTTTTAATCCTCAGGTAAGGATTTAAAAAAAAAAGGAATAACCAGGGAGGGGAAAGAAGCAGAAAAATAAAAAATAGATTTTACCCCTGTGTGCCCTTCAGAACCCCCACCCCCACCCCTGGCTCTATCAATATAATATTATAAGCAAACCAAATTTGCATCTACCTGCCTCAGTGAGATCCTTCAAAACCAAGAATCTTGGAGGCAGTTTAGGCTATTCATTTCCTTGCCCCACTCTTTTTATTTTATTTTTAAATTAATTTCAGAGAGGAAGGGAGAGGGAGAGAGAGATAGAAACATCAATGATGAGACAGAATCATTGATCGGCTGCCTCCTGCACAGCCGCTAGTGGGGATCGAGCCGCAACTAGGGCATGTGCCCTTGATTGGAATTCAGCCCAAACCCTTCAGCCCAAAGGCCAGTGCTCTATCCACTGAGCCAAACAGGCCAGGGCTGACCTGCATTTCAAATTCAGGGTCCCCCCTTCTTTAAAAGCAATAAGCATATCAAAGTATTGACAAGAAGGTGGGGAGGGCCACTTAAAGGTTTAATTTGTTTATATACCTTCAGTAGAGAACTCTCCTCACTGAACCTGCGGTGGGCTGCTCTCCTCCACCTTCTACTTTCCTGTCCCCCTCCCTCCTGCCACACACACAAAACAGAATCCCTGGAACGACTGAATCCTGCCTCCTCTTACTACTACCCCATCCTTAACAAGGTATAGAGCCCTTATGGAACTTTTTTTTTTCTTTTTTTTTTTTGCCTCTCAAGGGCCGGGCTGAGCTGAGCTGTAACCTGCCTCATTTCCTACAGCATTAGCTCCACCCACAAGGAAAGGGTCCCCTCTCAGAACAACACAACCAGGACCACTCTGGAATGAGAGCATTTCCATCCCAGAGCCTGGGAAACAGAGGTGTGGGTTGGAGGAGGCCCCAGGGTTTGTCAGTCAGGGTACATTGTCTTCCTCACCAGGATAAGGGATGAGGTTTTTCTTCTTCAGAGCACACTTAAGTGATCTTTTAGGTTTCTTGCTAACTCCAGGATGTTAGAGAGAAACCTCTTCCCTTCCCAGTTCTGGCTTCTAATAGCAGCTCTTTTCTTTTTCAGCAGACTCTAAGATGGACATAGAAGACTGCAATGGCCGCTCCTATATGTCTGGTATGCCCTCTTGTGCATTCTCTTTGTAAGGGGCCGGGAGCAGACACTCCTGTAGAGCAGCGCCTTCAGCCCCGCAGACCTCTGAGTGCCCTAGTCACAGAGCCGACAACCACACTTGGTAGTGCTTGATAGTAATCATTTATTTTGGTCATTTTACATTCCTTCGTGATTTTCTTCCCAGGCTTCTTGGGTGATAGGAGAAGGGAATAAGAGAGGAATATGAGTAGAGACTATTAGAGAGGAATGATCTGAGGCAAAGAGATGGAAGGAAGATGTAGTTCCTTCTGTTCTCTGAAGTCGCCAGCAAACATGATATTTAATAGAGAGTAGAGCAGGGTTTCAAACCTCAAAGGCCTGTGGGGGGGCAGATGGGTATATAAATGAATGACCTGGGTTAGAATAATGAGCAGAAGAGAATGGTGGGGACTGTCATGAACTGGAAAACATACGTCCTTCCTCAAGGAGCAACAGCTCTTCAGTATCCGTGTGGAAGTGTGTGTGTGTATCCAGTGTGGCCAAAACTTCCTCAGAAAACAAAACTTCAAAATCATTATCTTTTATTTTTTAATATGTTTCTCCAGAGACTAAGATGTCAGCAAGGAATATAACTTTCCCAAGAAGTGCCAGAGTCATGTAAAGTGGTACAGCCACTTTGGAAAAAGTTTTGGCAATTGTTTAAGAGAAATCAAAAATCCAGATTTTATATAAAAATAATGACTCAATTTAAAAAGAAAATGTTTCATGGGGCAAGCCAAACTTATCTATAGGCTGAATTTGGCCAGTGGACCAATGGCTTACAGCCTTTGAAGTGGAGATACAGAGCTCAATTCTCCTTTCCCCCAATCCTTTTCAATGATCAGAACATACAGCTTTTCATACCTGCCAAATGCTCTTACTGAGGCAGAAGAGATCATTGCTCATGGTATGCCTGGCTTTTAGAGATAGGAAAGTTATCAGGATGCTCTCAGAGTTTAACAAGGTGAAAAGAAATGAGGAACTTTATCTGGCTCCCGCTCTGAGGGTGTAGGAAAGGGCCCAAGACAGAGTGTGTCTAAGATGGAAGGAGTCGTTTTTTGGACCATTAGAATGCCAGGGCAGGAAATGATTCTACGAGGTAAGGGAAGCCAGAATTGGGTTTTGACATGATGAGTATCCCCCTCAGATATTCAAGCACCATTGTAGGAGTGACCTCTAGCTTTTTTTCCCCCTCAAGTGGGACTTGTGGAGGAAGTATGGGCATGCCCTGAGGGAGACAGCAGGGTGGATCAGGCACACATTTAAGAGTCACTGACACCTCCTGGGTAATGTAAGGGAAGACAACTCTGACCCGTTTTCCTTTCAGGAGGGAAGGAATTGGAATGGGCAAAGGCATTCAGTCCCTGCCACGTCTGGACAGAGGGACAGGGACCAAGGGGACTGACATAACTGAAAGAGGCTTTATTGGTTTGAAAGCCATAGCCTTTCTGAGGAACCAGCCAGCCCTCCCACCTCCTGCTCGTTAAGCCTATTCAGAAACCCACTGCGGAGCAACAAGCTCACTCAGGACCCTGCTTTATTGCCGGGACCGCTCAGGCGGATGAAAACCGGTCCCTGCTCCGTGGTAGGCAGAAGAGAAACCAGGAAGGTGGGCGAGAAAATACGACAGGCTCTTTTCAGTCCTATCTCTGGAGAATCATGGATATTAGAGGAAAATTTCTGAGGGTGTTTGCTTTCCTGCGCTATGAAACCAAACTTCCCCTGCTTTCAGCAGGTTGGCATGTCCTGTATAAGTAGAGGCCTCTGCACAGGAGGGCTTTTTGGGTGACAGTAGAGGTCAGCCACCTCTTACCTGTGTTTTGAGAATTCTAGATGTCAGCAGCTACCTTAGGGAGAAGGGAAAACCCAGATAGGGCCAACATGAGCCCTGAAAAGTAGTAGCCCCTGCAGAACTGAGCATGGTGGAGACAGTCCACCGGCGGGGCATCTGACCCATCTCTCCTGGAGTGATCTGGAGGCAGCGGGGGAGGCTGGCGCAGTGTACACCCTCCCAAAGCACCCCCGCGGCTCCTGCGAGGCCATCCCAGCTCTTCTGCCTCCACACCCGGTGGCCTTTCCTCGCCTGGCCACTTGATGAAGGGCGTATCTCTCCTGTTCTTCACCCGGGTTTTCCCACCTCACAGAACCCGGTTCCGAAAGCCCATCTTTTCTAAAGGTGCAGATGATTCCCTCCTGGGGGAGAGAGGGAAGAGTCATTAATTTACCATCCAGAGCCTCTCCCCTCCCCGTTCCCTCTTTCCAGGGAGCCGGGTCGCTGGGACTGGCTCATACAACTGTCTGAGCAGTGCTTGTCCCAAGTTTTCTGGGACCCTGAAATGTTCAAGGGAACCTCAGTCGGAAGAGATCCAGGGGTAGGCAGCCCAAAGTTTCACAGCCCCTCCCACCCCCAAATTCTTGGAATCAGAAAACCTAGTCTCCAAAGTAGGTCAGCACGTCACTGCGCAGCTCCCCTGGAAGGAAGGGAAGGGAGCCGAGGCCTTGTCTTGATAGAGGGCGGATTCATCCAGGGCTGCAGGCAGGCGGCCGGCCCCAGGGGCACCGGCGGGGAGGGGCGGCGGGGAGACGAGACCAGCATTTTGCCCGGGATCTGAAAGGGCTCAGGGCCACGGAGCCGCACCAGCCTGGGACCAGACTGTGCCGAGCCCTCTCGCCGCCGAGAAGGAGGGAACTGTCAGTCCCCAGATCCGACAGAGCGACCTCCCTGCTGGAGGAGGAGGGAGAGGAGGGAATCGGAGTGCCTGAGTTTGGTGGGGGAGGGGCTTTCTGCGGATCTGAGAGCCTTGGAGCTGCCCGGTGTCCTGGGCCCCATGACCTCTGGGGGCCTTGGCTTCCCCAGCTGGCGGAGGATTGGGCCTTCCCTGGGGGCCCCCTTCCTCCCTCCCACCCCGAGGGCCCATCCATCTCTCTCTTGCACACACTTGCTTCTCCCAGGCATTTGTTGTGCAGTTCCTCTTTTTCTCCTGGGCACGAGGGCAACGGCATCTGCCTCCCGCTCCCTGGCTCCCTGTGCACACCCCACCCCCGCCCCTGCACTGGCTTGGGAAGGAGATGCTGTAGCCTAGCACCCCCCCCCCCAGACACACATATACATTCTACATTCTCTGCAGCCCCCTCCTCAAGCACATCCAAGCGTTCTCTCTCTCTCTCTCTCTCTCTCTCTCTCTCTCTCTCTCTCTCTCTCACACACACACACGTTAACAGACATATTGCCAAAAATAATAAACCTTACCACACATGATGATCAGTCGAAGGGTGCTATCGAGGGACCGAGTGCATTGGATGGACGTCTCAGTTACAGGCGAAATGGAGACTTCTCCCCTCTCTATATAGAAATCTAGATCTTGGAAGGGAAGTGGAGTTCCTACCTCCTTCCCGCCCCCCTGACATACATATAATCAGACCGTTCGTGTCCTTCGCCGGTTTAACGGGCGGGCGAGCGCCGACACCGTGGTATTCTGCGGCCGCGGGGTTCTAATTATGTCTGCTAGTC